CCGCTCATGCTTCAATAGATTACGCCCCGGTTTGTCTCCGAAGGCCAGCAAGGCACCTACAGCTCGCCCCGCAACCTTGTCAGCTCAGATGGGCCTCATTCGCAGCCTGACGACGCAATGCCCCAAACAGGCTGGGTCTTCGGCTTTTGCCCAGATCGGGTGAGTACAGAATTTTAATGATTAAAATGATAATTAGAGATGTATTCACCATATTTCGTTTAAGATGATGAAGGACAGGTAGTGGAATTTTCCCACAACGAGATGAGCATAACTGGCAGTTTGCATAGTTGTCTTGAAACTATGGTTCTATACGAAAAGTATAATGTTTCTTTGTCCCACTTTTTTGAATCTCCAACTAGAAGTGTATTTGCCAGCCGCTTGATAGTCATTCAAGTAGCTTATGATTTTGGAAGTTTTCCCATCATCAACCTTAAACGAAATAGGGTGAATACATCGCATATAAGAATTACTGTTTGTTTTGAAACCAATCAGAATTGCAAATGACATTCTTTCATATTCCAGTCATAGTCCTGACTTTCTCGTGGCCCAGATCTGGTGAGTACAGAATTTTAATGATTAAAATGATAATTTGAGATGTATTCACCATATTTCGTTTAAGATGATGAAGGACAGGTAGTGGAATTTTCCCACAACGATATGAGTATAACTGGCAGTTTGCATAGTTGTCTCGAAACTGTGATCACATACGAAAAGTATAATGTTTCTTTGTCACACTTTTTTTGAATCTCCAACTAAAAGTGTATTTGCCAGCCGCTTGATAGTCATTCAAATAGCTTATGATTTTGGAAGTTTTCCCATCATCAACCTTAAACGAAATAGGGTGAATACATCGCATATTACTGATTTACTGCCAGTCTCGAAAATCTACTTACATACGAAACATAAAAGGATAATTACAAGAGCATTTCAGTATAGCCGAAGAGGACTTTTTGGTAAGACTTCATTCGTTCTTAGAAAAAGAGTTGCATTTAAGAGATTCATTTTTTGGTCTCACCAGAAGCAGGTCTACATGTTCTAATGACGCCTGTCATGGGCGTAGGCGACGAAAGCTGGGCAAAAATTGATCGAGGTCGCGAAAATCTACAACCACATTTTCAAGGCTTCCGGTGAGACGAATTTATGAAGCCTTTCAACGAGACCCACTTGCGCCTCCAGACATGTACATGTCTACCGCCCGGCCTCGGACACACAAGCACCTTAACTACAGACCGAGAGACGGACGGCCCGGCGACAAAACCCCAAAGACCTGTCGTCTCGGCTGACAAGCGTCACCCTCTTCGTCCTGACGGAGAGGGGAGGGCGGAAAGAGCAGCTCTGTACAGACAAGCCGACAGGCCAGACGTTTGGAGACAGCCGTTATGGCAACGGACCACATCGGATGAGGCACTTGGAGAAGAGCATGCATGTCTGTGCAGTCGGTCGACAACATCTTTATGCATAGGTTTGTGTACTTATGATTACTGTAGGGTTAGCGATACCCTGAGGCAACAGAGTCGGACGAACCTGCAAACAAACTTACAACCGTCAGTCAGTATCCCCTTCTCTGGGGCCCACGCAAGGCCGATATGCGTCCAAAAGGTACCGGGAATTCGTGTTTATGCAAATATTACAAAACGTAAGTATTGAAGTAGGTGGAATTGCTGGCGGCCCTTCTATCCATCGTTCTATTGCCCCCAGAGACAGCACCTCTCCGTCTAGACTGTGAGAGGATAAGTGGAAGTGGGCATTTGTGTGTGTGTGTCGGAGACTCAAGTCAAATGGGAGAAGGGATAGAGTCTGTCCGGAGAGTCAGGATGGAGCGCCGTTGGTCTGGTTCACCGGTCAAAGTGGGAAAAATGGACACAAGTGTACAGACAACTTCCGCCCTCTGCCAATTAGGCCAGAGTGCTTTGACTGTTTTGTGCTCAAGGCACGGCTGGGCTGCGCATACACCCTCACTTTATGCTCTGGCGAGTCCATTTCTGCCACGTACCGTGGCAGATCAGTTGGGCCGATCAGAGAGGACATTGGCTCCGGTATGATCTGATGACTCGGGCATCATCATATACCCATTGTTGAGCTTACTTCCATTTCGAGTGAAAGTGTGGGGGGGAAGAGAT